GGCGTTGCTGCAGCAAAAACAGAAGCGATGCGCTTCGCTCAACGCATGCTTGTATGTTTTTTCTTTTTTTATTTTTTTTTTCTTCTTGTCTTTGTCTTTGTCTTGTTGTTGTCTTTGTCTTTGTGTTTGTCTTTGTCTTTGTCTTGTTGTTGTCTTTGTCTTTGTGTTTGTGTTTGTCTTTGTCTTGTTGTTGTCTTTGTCTTTGTCTTTATCTTTGTCTTTGTCTTGTCTTTGTCTTGTTGTTGTCTTTGTCTTTGTCTTGTCTTTGTCTTTGTCTTTGTTTTTGTTTTTGTCTTTGTCTTGTCTTTGTTTTTGTGTTTGTCTTTGTCTCTCTCTGTCTCCGTCTTTTTTTCTGTTTCTCTTTTATCTCTCCCTCTCTCTTTCTCTGTCTCTCTGTCTTTGCTTGTCTTTGTCTTTGCTTGTCTTTGTCTTTGTCTTGTCTTTGTTTTTGTGTTTGTCTCTGTCTTTGTCTTTGTCTTTTGTTTTTTGTGTTTATAATTATTTGTTTGCTGTCTCCATGTATTCCTCTTCTCTCTCTTAATGCCACTGAATTGTGTTCTTGCTGCTGCTGCTGTGCTGCTGCTGCTGCTGCTGCTGCGTTGCTGCTGTTGCTGCTGCTGCTGCTGCTGCTGCTGCAGGCTGAAGGAAAAGTTGACCCCCCGGAGCACAAGAGTGACGTCCCTGGTAATACACGAAAACCTGCAGCAGCAGCAGCAGCAGCAACAGCAGCAGCAGCAGCAACAGCAGCATTGTTTATTTTGTTTTGTTTTTGTTTCTTTTGCCTGTCTCCCTTTATTTTATTTTATTTTGTTTTATTTTACTTTATTTTATTTAATTTTTTGTTATTGTCTCCCTGTTGTTGTCTCCTCTATGTATCTTTTTTTATTTTTTTTATATTTTTATTTCGCTCTTTCTGTCTCCCTTTTGTCTCTCTGTCTCCTCTGTCTTTGTCTTTGTTTTTTTATTTTTTTATTTTTCTCTTTTTCTGTCTCCTTTTTCTTTTTTTCTCGTTTCTATATATCTGTCTCTTGCTTTTTATTTACTTATCTCTCTTTTCTCTTTATTTATTTATTTCTTTTCCTTGCTCTTCCTTTTTATTTGTTTATATTTTATTATTTATATTTTATTTATTTATTTATAG